GAGACATGTCTGGATTGATCAAGTTCAAACTTCACACACACAAGGTACATCATGTCACAAATATGTATGTGCATTTGTTTCATGATCTCATTAACGATAGCCAAATGGGGGCCGCTTTAAGGCCGAAAATGCATTGAAATCGCACATTTTCACCATTCCGGACCCGTATCTCAGTTATGCATGGATGGATTTTGTTCAAATTTGGTACATACATTAAACATAATAGGACCTTGATGCACGTCTTTTTTTTTTCGGATCAAGTTCAAAATGGCCATTTTGTTAAAGAATTCAGTTCTGGATCCGTATCCAAGACATGTCTGGATTGATCAAGTTCAAACTTTACACACACATGGTACATCATGTCACAAATAGATATGTGCATTTGTTTCATGATCTGCTTAACAATAGCGGAATGATGGCCATTTTAAGGCCGAAAATGCATCAAAATCACGTATTTTCACAATTCCAGAACCGGATCTCAGTCATGCATGGATGGATTTTGTTCAGATTTAGCACAATGTGTTGTACATATGCAGGTGCATTTCGGTCATGATCTGCTTTGAATGTATATGTCACTCAAATATGAACGGAACAGGGACGTGTCATTGACAATGACTTGTTTTGATGCTCGATTTCACTCATAAATCGGGATCCTCCACTGAACAGTCTTTTCTGCATTGAGATACGGTAATGTGTAAAATGTGTTGTAGTGACCTTGGGATAAATGTTTTTCCTACACATTGACTATAGAAAGGAGCAGCATTAACTTCAAATTACAAATTTATTCACTATATTACCTGTGACTGTCTTCAGATTCGCAGACACAGCCGAACACTGCCAGTTTGAATCTACCAAGGTCGCCAAACAGTATAGATGCACTGACACCACCCTATGCTGCTTCTGACGGCACTGCTTTGGTAACATTAAGAGATGGTTATGGTTTAACTGAATCACAAACAAAACAGCCTGTGACATTGGTAATAACTTATCCATTATGTTCTTATAAATACAGGCCTGGGTCTCACCAGGAAATAAATATGTATTTGAAGAGTTGTTCATCAGTTCAGAAAGTATGAGAAAATTACTCATCCGTAGGTGACTTTAGACTCAGACATGAAGTATTTTGTTCCTCTTATAATGGAGATAAGTGTACTCAAATGGTCATTATTGTTAAACAGATGATCTCTCTGAAAAATACATATAGAATATGACCTGTGGCACACTTATTTGCCAAATCAGGCACAGAGCTTGAATTGTCTATTCAGTTTTGTTGTTTGATGTGAAGATTGTTGGATATCCATCGTTCTTCTTCATATGATGTCTAATTTTGATTGTTGCTACACCAGGAGTGTAGTTTGATTCCCTGATAAAAGGGGATATACAAACAGTCTTTCGTAAATCCATTTACTGTAGTTTTTCTTGAGTTTATTATGATTTTTTTAATTGTCCTAATTTACTCTACTAGATTGTTGTACACACTGTAAAATACTTTATTTTAGCTGGAATAAATTTTCGCTGAAAAGACTTTTTAGGTGTTTTGTATGGAATTTATTTTCACTGATTTTTGACGAGTTGAATGTAAAATATAGAAAAATAGATATACGCGCTGGATTATATTTTCATTGAATCCTTCCTTCAGACCAAAATAGCGAAAATAAATTCCAAGTGAAAATTAAGTATGTTACAGTATTTGTGATCTCACAGATTATCGGAATGAATGAGTTCATGCATCTATTTTCATACAGGCTCCTGTAGTCACTACAAATGCAAATTATTTTCCCAACGTTGAAAATGGTAGTCTTCAAATCATTGTCACCAATGCTAATGGGACTGGTCCTTCAGATGAGGAGAACAAAGGTATAGTAGTGGTTTGCCTGTTCTCATCATTTGCCATTCCGCTTACGCCTAGGTACGGCGCTAGTAATATCTCTCGATGGATATCCCAAATTTTTGGAAAAATCATGCGTTGCTTAGCATGTGTTCAGAAATGTTCACTATATGTTAGTTGGGAATTCCATGTAGATAAAAAGATCTCATGGTGGACAGTGTTTACATGAAAACATTAATTCATTCAATCAGTTGAAACTACAGTCAAATACAGACCTTATTGAGATGTCATACCTATAAGCATTACTAGAGTTAGTGGAGTGGCTTACAATAATCACAATATTCTAAATGTATGCTGACTTAGACAAGGTTGTATGATTGTCATTGAATAATGGATTTTAATGTTTTATTTGCTTTATTAGACACACCTCTCTAATAGAAGCACACATCAACCACAAATTGCGTAATTTGTGATCAGACACACCTCTGACATTTACGCAAGAAATTTCTCTATCTGAATTTAAATAATTAGCTTTTTAAAATGGTTGTGATTTTAGAATACAAAATTACATTAAAATTTTGACTGGTCTGATTTTCAGAGTAAAAATCAGTGATTATAAATATGTTAGGTGACATATATGCTGCATATCAAATCAACAGTTTTATCAAAACACAATTACTTATGTCTAAAAACAATAATTTAAAAACATTTTATGATTACGACTGAGTAATCAGAAAAAAGTGTGGCAGTTTATTGCACAAATAGGTAACAAATCTGTCACCATCATAAAAGCTGTTAAAATTCTTCCGCTAATAGTTTTATCTTAGTGCCAATCCCCGATTCAAAAATATGAACAAAAAATCAACTCCAAGGGATCAAATTTCAACTTTGATAATGATATTTAATTCCACAATGCTCTTTTAAGCACAAATGGCCGACTGGTGGTCATTTTGTTTTTATTCATGTCCATGCAGATTCCTCACTAATATATTGCTAGATTCAGTTGAAAATAACAGGTGCGTGTCATATTTTTGTTGAAAATAGCTGACAATCATTGCAGTTTTTATGGTATCCATGCTTGTTTCACTGTATGTGTGATTATAATAACCACAATTTGTCAGTCTCTCCACTTCCTGTCTTGCTGCATTGAAATTTTGCAATTTTAGCGAATTGTGGTAAAATGGCGTAATAGCGAAATGTTTATTTTAATAGCGAATATCTCTTGTCATTGTTTTCACAATACATGCCTGTCGCGTGCCAAAATCACCTCCATAAAAACAAAGAAAAACTGTCAATTGTAATTAGGAAGCGCCCCCATATTTTTATGTTCCTGATTACTGTATACAAATCCCCAGACCTTGGCCATTTTGAATTATAATAAAGTCATAAGCGACATCTTAATTTAGCGAATCAGTTCTCTCGCTAAATTTGCTAAAAAGACATGCTCGTGAAAAAGACATGTTTTACAGTATATCATGTGACTTGTGCTGATAATTGTAATGGATTACCAGTAAAAGCACATGGCGACTGTGTATTTACATGCAATAGTTTTAGACATGATGGTGATGACTATGAAGATTGTATAATGACTAATATTTCTTTCCTGGTATTTTCTAGATTCTAGTTATTCGACAATCAACCCACCAAATATCAACAGAATCACTAAGAGGGATGATGGTTTTGATTTTGGTATCTCCTATATTTCTTTGATCGGCTTTCTTGCTTTTGTGGTAGTCATACTAGTAGTAGCACTGTGGTGGAGGTTTTGTCAATGTTCAACTAACAAGACTGCTTCAACAAAGAAGTATGGGTTATCATCAAAACAAAAGAAGAAACTGCAAAGATTGTCTGGATGTTGTGCAGTCAATATAGTGAATAGCGATTCAGAATTAGGTATTTGTTATAAATACTATGTTCTAATAACTAACTGAAAGTTGGGCCCTCTAGTGGTGTAGTTGTAAGTAAAGCCATTCACATGATGTACATGGTCTCTAGTAAATGAGATTATCCGTATTCTGATGGTGATTGTCTACTATACTAAACTAAACTACTAGTAAATGAGATTTACCTTATTCTGAAGGTGGTATTCCACTATACTATATTAAACTAAACCAAACAAAATTGACGCTTCTATTCATTTACATCATATTGGAGTCACAGAAAAGCCTTGTCAATAGAGGGCAGTGTTTAAGAAACAGAGGAGCCTTATCACTTGAGGGCGCTAGTCACAGGAAAGGTGTATTGGATGCATTATTTAAAGGCCCAATTCACTTGCCCCGGGCAAGTGTGAATTGGAGGTGTGGCTATGCTAATGAGTGTTGTTAGTAGCGCGTCCCTTTCCCCGGTTCGTGTTTTTGACTTTTATTCGCCAAAATCTCAGCTCATACATTATTTATTGTTATAAATGCTACACACAGTCACTGCTGTGGTATCCATAGTCACATGCATCCATTTTGGCACAACATAATCGACCAGTAAGTTTGAGAAAACATGTCTTTACCGGAGCTTGGCTGGATCTGTTTACTACAGTGTGACAAGCAAGGAAATAATCCCTAATGCTTAGGAGCGTATTTATAGTATACCTGGGCCTTTAATGATATCTGCAACAAGTGTTGATATTTTAAATTAAATCAATATTAAAAAGCTGTCAAAAGAAAGTCAAGGGTACCACAACTTCATGATGTAATTTTTCTATAGCACTAAACCCTACTTTGGGTTTGAAAATTGGCAAATTTGAGTACAGTTGAGTTTTGAAGTTGGGTTTATTATTTGGGGGGGGGGGGTAAATCTAGATCTGCCAATTATAAAGAAGATTTTATTTTGTATGTAGCAATATGAATGGCAGTCAACTGAGTAAATATGGCATTGAGCAGGGTCTTTTTTGTGTGAATCGTTATATAGGATGTACAAACAGAACTTACAATTTCAAATAGAACTGGTATTTCTTTTGACGCAGACAGCCATTCAGTCATTTGACCCGGACGTTGTTGTGAACTTGCATTACGGTGACTCATTTCAGAAATTCTGGATGGTTGAAAAAAAAACTGTAATCTGACGAGATGGCATATCAAATCAAATTAATCTATAACTCACAACTGACTAAAATTAACTAACTAAAATAAAAATCCCTAGATATTGTGAATGTGTGCAAATGGGAGCAAGTTCTATAATGGCAGACATCTGAAGATGATATACATTCTTGTTGGGTGGAACTCATAAACACATATGGTGACACTGTCCCTTTTACAATTTTCCTTGCAATGTCGTCTTAGTAATAATTAATGGTATTAAATTTGTTTTTTTCAGAAGAACGGCATTCACGAAGACGTAGTGTTGGACAGACATCGTCATGTAGGACACTTCTTCAAAAGAACATCACCCTGAAAGATGGTATGATGATCAAATAACAAGCTGCCTGTCAGCTGATATAGCTTTGTTGATTAGATACATAATGAGGAGCGAAAATCAAACTCAGTCTGATCATTTTCATAAGCTTCTAGGGGCATCATTCTTTATAAACTGACTTTACCTGGTACTGTAAAACCTGCAATTTCAGTATTTTAAAGCGCGGAGGACGTATTTCATGTAAATAAACAATGTATTTTACACGCATTGTATACGTCACTATGAGTCCCATATCGAACAGGACGCGGCACGACGACTGTCGCCCTTCAATGTTTTGCTCATATATGTTCACTGGATTCTAAGTTCACAAGCAAACCAGGGGAATAATGAGTTCTATTGTCATTTTACATGTTTACATAGATTTAATTTAAAGATAGTGGATTACTATTAAAGCTGGAATCAATTTTCATTGAAAAGACAATCAGATTTTTTGTATGGAGTTTATTAGTCCCTGTTCGAACGAAGTCCGAAAACGAGGACTTATAATTCGGTCTCCGTCCGTCCGTCCGTCCGTCCGTCCGTCCGTGCGTCTGTGCGTCCGTCCGGAGTCATATCTCAGAATCCCTTGGACCGATTCCGTTCATTCTTTGCATGTGCCCAGTACTTTATGTGGGACATATGCACATGCAGTGGTTTAGCGATTCGATTCAAAATGGCCGACTGGCAGCCATCTTGTTTTTTGAAAATGTTGTATTTTGGACATGTTTTGTCAGTTTTCATTCAAATTTAGTACATAGATCATACATGTTAGGATACATGTCCATGACCATTTGTGAGTTCCTGAGTCTGTCCGTCCGTGCGTCAGTCTGTCCAGAGTCATATTTCAGAATCCTGTGGACCGATTCCGTTCATTCTTTGCATGTGCCGAGTACCTTATGTGGGACATATGCACATGCAGTGGTTTAGCGATTCGATTCAAAATGGGCGACTGGCAGCCATCTTGTTTTTTGAAAATGTTTTGAAAATTTTGGACATGCTTTTTCAGTTGTCATTCAAACTTGGTACATAGATTATACATGTTAGGATACATGTCCATGACCATTTATTTTGCAATTGGATCAAAGATGGTCGACTGGCAGGCATCTTGTTTTGTTTTTTTATGCGGTATCTTGGACGTGCTCTGTCAGTTTTCATTCAAATTTGGCACATACATGTACTTTATACATGTTAGGATGCATATCCATGACAATTTGTTTCAAAATCTGGTCAAGGATGGCCGATTGACAGTCATCTGACTTTTTGGCCTTACTACTATATTTCCACAATTTATGTACCATATTCATTCGTATTTGGCACATACATCATACATGTCAGTTTGTTTCATAATCAGATCAAAGATGGCCGAATAACGGCTGTTTTTATTTTTGGCCATATTACTACTACACGGAACACGTGTTTTGATGTAAATAAACAATCTGTTGTATACACCACTTGGAACTCAAGTTTCAAGGACACGCTCGTGACAACCCCTCCGCTTTAATATGACGAGCACAAAGAGAACTTTCAAAAATTTAACGGGGACTGTGTCATTTTCAATGACTTGTTTTCACTGATTTTGATGACTTGAATGTAAAAATATAGCAAAACGGGTACTTTCGTTGTCGCGACTTTATACCCTCGTTGGCCAATTACCGTACTGGACCGCTTAGCGCCCAGGGTCCTCAACTCAGAAAATCATTATTTTTTAGGGGTGGGCGCTTACCCAAGCACCCCCCTCGGAAAAGAGTGCAAATGACAATTTTAATTTATCATGTGACACATTGAGTGGGATATTACGTCTTTGAGGGGAAATAAAATTACGAAATTAGACTTTTACAATGAATTAGAAAAAATATGCATATTTTATTACAATATAAATTACATACCACCTGAGTTTACGAGATTAAAAATATTAGTCTGTTGGAACACGGTAAAAGTAAAAATCTTCATCATTATCTCCACTGACGAATGTGCTGGATCATACGCAAACTCTTGATAAAAAGCACTTTCCGCCATGATGTATTTGCATGATTTGACCTACAGTAACATCCTTTGACCTAATGGGTCAATTCTGTAACCAATCAGAATACTGTGTTGTACCAACGCAATTCTTCGAGAATTCCCAAAGACTTTCTGGTAATGCAATACGAAAGTGAATTTTCGCTGTCGAAGTACGATGTCTTGGAATTGATTTCGCCGAATAAACGACATGTTTTTTTGAAAAAAATGGTGACCAGCAATTTTTGATAGGTAAACTGAATATGGCATGAAATATTTACCGCATTTTGCTTTTATTAACAGGTCATTGTCGAATCATAGTTTATGCATAGTTACCGTGGTCTAAGCATTCACAACATATTCGCGGCGGCCGATATCCATGCTGAACCATATAAAACGATTACCAGTATTCGTTAAGAAATAATCAAAGACCATGTTTTAAATTAGTGGCATTTTGAAGGGGTGGGGCTTTGCCGAATGTGACACCGAATATAAAAATTGTGCAAAAGGGGGGGGGGGCGCTTGACCGAGCATGGGTGCTAACGCGGTCCAGTACGGTAAATACACAATGCGATGAAACATCAGTTCTACTTCACGACTTAGCCAAGGGTCACTTAATTTCAATCGAGATATTAAAACCCAGTGAATCACTATGCATAGTCAGTAAATGACATACTCTCAGACAGACATTGTTTATACCATTCTTTTTATAGGCATATCCATTGCCGTGATGTTACAAGAGACTGCTCCGAGAATTCGAAGACGATATTGGAAACGGTTCATGCGCAAGCGACCATGTCCTGGTCTTTCTGATGCTGATATTGATGGGGTTGAATATAAATGTAGAGGAGAGGACCTTGGCGAGGTGGTATATGAGTGTCTTAAAATTTGGAAGAACAGAGCTGGTACAAACCTGTCAGTTCGGAATCTCCTGTGGTCGTTAGCAGATTTTGATAATGATCTTGCCAAGGATTTATTAGAAATGTACTGTCAAGTAGAACAAGTTGCAAACTCAAGCCTATGATATTTATAACATTCTAGATATGCTTGAATCCAACATTGCCCAAAATATCCTGGTAGATTTATCGTTCACAAGATAAATTATTACAAAGACAAAGGGACCACCCATACAGATGCACGTTGTTTTACTTTTTTGAAATGATCAAATATGGCCGACTGGCAGCCATTTTGATTGTTAATCATGGCTTTTGTCTGTCCATTGATATTTCTCTGAGATGCCTTGACTGATTTCAATGATACTAGGTACAAAGACACAATGAGGAGGTATACATACATAATGTATTCACATTGATTTATTTCCTGATTTTATCAAATATGGCTGCCTGGCGGCCATTTTGAATGTCAAAATCCTGTAAAAAACATTTTTTTTGGTGTGTCCATCATCATTTCTCGGAGATGCCTGGACCAATTATGCTGAGACTTGGTACAAAGACAGAGTGACTACTGGTACAGATGCACATTGATTTATTTTTTCAAGGAATCAATTAATGAGCTCATTTGCATATTTAATTATTAATTTGAATTCTTGTTAATATCTTGTGAATAGTCCAAATCAGACCAAACTTGTTAGAAACTTGATTTGTCAATATAAGATATATGCTATGCAATATTGAGTTTCAATTTAATTAATGAGCTAATTTTTATATTCAATGAATTTTGAATTTTTGTTTATCTTGTGAGCTAATGGTCCAAATGAGATTGGTATAGACTTACTTGATCTGTCAATATACAATGTGCTATGCAATATTGAGTTTCAATTTAATTAATGAGCTCATTTGCATATTTAATGAATGTTTGTTGATATCTTGTGAACTAATGGTCCAAATAAGATCAAAGTTGGTATAGACTTACTTGATCTGTCAATATACATTATGTACTATGTACTATGTTTCAACTTAATTATCAAGCTCATTTGCATATTTAATTAATTTAGAATTTGTCTTAATATCTTGTGAATTATTAGTCCAAATAAGACCATACTTGGTATAGACTTACTTGATATGTCGATATAGGGTATGTGCCTTGTAATGTTGATTTTTAACCTAATCTTCCTACCCGATTTTATACATATGCATTCAAACTTTATAATTCATAACCAACTATAATCACATCTGACAATTGTTAATTTATAGAAGCTATGATTTTCTGTGATATTTTAAAAATATATATATTACGATTAATGTTTTCTTTCCTCCCCATCCTATTGTTACTGACCTTGCTGTGATGCATTTTGTGTATGTTTTTGTTGCCTTCACCACTTACTGTGTGTCCACGTTGGTGCCTGGTGAAGGCTGTGTTTAGCACTGAGCTTTTGCAGGGGCAGGTTATAGTTGCGAGAATTTCCACAGTTCTTCAAACAATTATAGGTTTACAGGACAATGTTTACAAGCTTGATACACAATACAGTCCCCTACATGGTTCCAATAGCTTCTAGCTTAAACAAACGATTAACAACTCTGAACTCTAGGTGGCGCTGACAATATATCTTCAAAACTACAAAAACAGTACAATCTAAATTGCCCATAACAAAATGAAACTTATACAAATTCTGTCACCAAGACTCCAATAAAAGCGAAAAATTTTGAGAATTACAGACAAATTGATGAACAAAATTTGATTCTACCACGATGTATAATAAGTTTTGCAAGTACAAATAAATTTTAACTCAATGCTGATCTACTTACTCTTCTGGCTAGCATCCCTCATCCAGACAAGTCAATAACCAATTTCTGTACTATGCAGCAAGGTAAACATAGCATGGCGGTCATCGACCTTGCTAAGTTGGTATCACACGGCCTCTCCAGGGTTTAGTCTTCACCAGTACTCTTCTTAAGGCTCCCTTTCGATCTGATATTAAATGGATGACTTCACCCAATGGCCGTACATTTCTTGCAGTATTTTCATCTTTCGCTTGATCTTCAATCATTTTTGACGTTCTTGAAGTGATGGCAAGTACTCCTTTGTCCATCGTTTCCAAAATAGTTCTGATAGATATTGTACTTGTTTCCATCTACTGCATATACATCACTCTTCTCACTTAGACCAGGTGGCAGAGAAGATCCTTTCATATGTAGCAGCATGTTGGGTATTAATGCTTCCCTGCCGTCTTCTGACGGCTTGGTTATTGAGCGACTGTTTATTGTGTGTTCTACCTCACATAGAAACGTCCTTAGGCTTTCATCAGTTAATTGTTGCTGCTTCACCATGACCTGCAACAGTTGTCAAATCGTGCGAATATTTGCCGTTCCTACACACAGACACAGTGGGAACCAAACGATGGGTTGAACTTCCAATTTATTCCATCCCTCAATACATTCTCATGTATTTCTTTTTTCAATTTGCAATTTCAGGACTCGATTTGCCCCACCGAGAAATTGGTTCTCGTCATCAAGTAAATTGCCTAATGGCATTAAGAAATGAATCTGTACTCATTGCATCAGCTACCTCAATGTGGACAGCACGTAATGCCAGGCATGTCAATACAACACAATAACGCTTCACCAAACTCTTTTTTAGTTTCACATATATAGGACCAAAGTAGTCAACACCCACATTAGTAAAGGGTGGGTCACCAGCTTTCAATCGATCAGTTGGGAGGTCTGCAATCTTCTGCTCACAAAACTTGGCCCGATTTCGTCTACATGTCACACATTTGCTAACCATCTTTCTTACTGCTGAGTTAGCATTGGGAATCAAATCTGTCTGACTTAACCCAGACAGCATATAAGATTTTCATGAATTTCAGATATAATCAAATCTGATACACGTGTTTTCTTAGGCACAATAATTGGATGTCTTGAACAAGCTTGAACATCCTCCAAGACACAACAAACCCTTGTTCAAAATAAGATCTAGTTTGTAAATGCAGCTACCTTTCAAGCCACTACCAGTATGGTGTATTTTATTCATTTTTAAGTTGTTAATTTCTCTAAGGAATGCATTTCGCTGTGCAAACCGAATAACTGCATTCACTGCCTTCTGTAAATTTTGAACCTTTAATTCATATTTCTCAGTAGTTTTTTAGTCATCTAGTTTTCGAGAGTGCCTCATAAGCATTTCACCTACTCTCTGAATCCATGCTCATTCCCTTTTTAGTTGATACCAGCTTGAGTAATGCCCAATTAATTTGTGCTGACACACTGTGTACCACATAATGCTTTAAATAATATTTAAACATAATATATAAACTCATTTTATCGGCAAATACTGGTTTAGGTCATTCTTCTTGTTTGCAACACAATTAGTCAAGACTATATCCTATTCTCAAGACAAGCATCAATGATGGATTGACCTCTGGAATAAGCATCAGCTGGGTTTTGGTCTGTTTTCACACAGGCCCAGTTTCTTGGTTCAGAACCTCCTCGTATTATTGCTATTCTGTTGGCTGCAAGTGTTTGTATTATTGCCCCTTGTTGTTCATATCCTTGGCTAACAGTCCAAAAGAAGGACTTGTTGATTGGTATGTCCAATTCCTTTTTTTAGAACCTAATCCATACGAACTGCTATTGTAGCAGCAGTCATGGAATGGGAATTTGCTTCAGTGGGGCTACTCCATCGTCCGGTGGTGTTCCGCTCGAATATTCCTCCCGTGCGTTGATTCTATTTATAACCGCATATGTCACGTGGTTGTGCGATAAAAAATTTACCGACCAATAGAAAGCTCTGTTACAATGACTGCAAAAAGCGCTTGGAGCTTTGCATTTCTGATGTCTTCATTTCTGCCGATATAAGTTGCAGCGACACCATGAGCTTTGAGGTATAACACCAACTCTTCTGTAATATTCAACAGTGGCAACAACACTATTACCACGCTTGGTGGTCGCAAATAATGTAAACGAATATTGTATTGCCTTGACATCCAAGCCAATGCAGCTTTCACTGTGCGAGCAATATTTATTCGGGGGGGGGGACATTTTCACCGCCTAGCAGCCGTCATGGTAAAAACAAAGGCCAAACACTCTCAGAAAACAGTACTTTGGGATGGTTGTTGACACCTACTGGAGCTTGGAACAAGATTACCCTGCATATGCAACGTATTTAAATTTGGTTGTTCAGGATTTCTTTAAAGTTAAATTTGTGCTTTTTTCTCTCTCGATTTTTAGCTATTTTCAACGGCGCCCTTCATGGCGTTGTCGCACATGATCATAAAAGTGAAAACTCTTTTAGACCCATTTTTTGTCTTTAGATTTTACTTCTGGCCATTCCTCTGCTTGCTTTACATAAGCTCTAGCCATCATATAGGGGTTTCCATATTCCTCCTCAAGTTTCTTTGCCTTTTTATATCCTTCGTTAGGGTTCATATGTACGCAACTGCCAACCAATTCTTTAGCATGTTCTTCAGTGCACTGCTCCAAGTAGTAAAGCCGATCATCAGGTTCTTCAGTATTGATTTCATTGCCATGTTTGAATGCACGCCTTGTATTTCAATGCCTCGCCATTAAACACCAATGTTTTCTTTGGGGAAAGAGCTGCATGCTTATTATGCTCAATAAGGTGACTTTCAGCCAATCAATTATGTTGTAACAAAGCGTATTTGACGCAAATTGAAAGGTTGTCGCACCATCCAATCACTTTTGTTCTTGTGCTTCAACAGGCTTCATAATTATTTACTCGAGCAGCATCGGTATATTTTCACAAAGAGGTAGGATTTGACCTCAGTTCAAAAAGAAAAACTAGGCTGAGATAAATTAGGGTACACAGCGAATCAGTTTTCTTTGCGAGTTGAGAAAATAGAGTAAACCAGACTAGGGTAGATGATTTTCTGTACCGAAGGTCTTCTCGGAATCATGAATTTCCAACTGTTCATCGACTGGTCGCCAAATATATACGGCAACAACTAAATTTGATACTTTGTTTTTTTCTGAAGCCCAATAAATTATTTATAAATGTCAAGCTCTGTTCGATTTTTTCAGGGCATCGTGGCCTGTTTTTACTATCACAGAGGGACTAGTTTGTGGAAAAAAATACAGATCGAGCCCAGCCACTGATCGTGACTCAGTTTTGATGTCATATTTTACCGGACCGACATGGTTTTGGCATCGTTATATTTGGAATAATTTCCTCGCCTCTCTGCTCTTGATCCAAAGGAGTCAGCATTGCCCTTTCTAAGTAACTGTCTTGATAGTCATTACTGAAAGGTGCGAGCGGCCCTGGATATAAACGAAACACAGTACGCCACATCAGCATGATGTGGAGCATAGTCAATTCACATTACATTTGTATGTATGCTAAATTCAAATAGACTAGTTTGTTTCTCTTACCTTGTCCACAGTAACACTTTCATCCCAATTTCATAAAATAAAATAAACAATTACATTTCATTTGCTAAAATCAGAACACCCAAATAGGCACTCGCGAAGCAAGGAAACACTGTTGAAGTTGCGTTCGCGAATGATACAAAGTGGCATAGATTTGAAACGTCGTTCAGAACATAATAATAGTTAATACTCGTTGTATCCCCCAAACTATGTCTTTAAAACCACCATTTCGACCACTCCTGTGTCAGTGACCAGTGTTTTGGCGAGCAGTCAGAGTTTTCAATAAGTGAGCGGGAGGAAAAAAACGATAAAGATGCGATCGTTTTCTAGTCGGAAAATACTGTGTGGTCAGAAATTAAGCGGTGGGAGGTGGGCAAAGAAGTGGGAGGTTGGGCAAAATGAGTACTGTAGTTCAAGTGATGTCAGCGTATTTCCACTCAATTTAGTTTTAACTCGTATATTTATTTACTCACTGTCTTCACTTTCAGATTAGTTCTTCTACTGATTTCTCGCAACCAACAACGCGATTTTTCATTTGGCATTTCATTCATACACACAACACCTCTATGTTTCAACTTTTAAATTGTCAGTTAACAAGGTCCTTCATAGTTGCACTTCTATGGGATTGACGTACTAGAATGAATGGTTCAATTATCAGTGTTCACTAATGACGTCATTGACTGGCCCTCTAGAGGCTAAATAACGCCAAGCAAAGTTGGCGTGTGTCGTCTACTTCACACACCATTTTATACTCAGGGCATTTCGCAGCACATACACGTTGTTTTTATCACCAGAATTCATTTCAGATCTTAAATATCATGCACGAAGTGACAAAAGCCAGAACTCTGCTCCTCTTTAATATGGTGAATATTAAACATGATGGTTCAAATTAATCACACACGATCCCACCAGACGCCGACAAACACTGTTTATATCTGATAATCACTATTACTACTACCATGGACGTACTAAAACAGAATGAACCACTGATCAATTTCCTTTGATCTATCTGTTTTGCCGCTGATTATTTTGAAGTAATAAATAAATAAAAACTGGTGTTTACGTCTAATTACACCTAGGATCATAATCGCATAGCCGAGGGATCCCCAAGTCTGTTTACACAGTGCGTTCGGTAGTTCTCGAAGTCGTTTGACACATTCAGGTCATCATGTGGTCATGTGACATTTACCCCTATGCAAGTAGTGTCACACGTAGTGGAGCTCATTGCTACTGAAAGTGAAAACAGATTAACAAAACAGCAGCAAGCTGACGGCATGCTTTAAACCTGCTATCTTGAGCTATCACTAACGTCGACCACAGTAAAAAACAGGAATAATAAAAATTCGAATCTGATATTAAACTGTCGCAATTTGTCGCAAATCAAGATAAAGTTGAAATAGGTAAGTAAAAATTTCAACAACAATAATTCCCATTGCCATATTAAAGAGGAGCAGAGGTCTGGCTTTTGTCACTCCGTACATGATATTTGAGATCTAAAAATGAATCCTGGTGATAAAAACAACTTGTATGTGCTGCGATATGCCCTAAATATCGAGTATAAAACTGTTTGTGAAGTGGACGACAAACGCCAACTTTACTTGGCGTTATTTCGCCTCTAGAGGGCCAGTCAATGACGTCATTAGTGGACATTCATTCTAGTACGCCAATCCCATAGAAGTGCTTTCATGAATGATATTGTCAACTAACAATTTAAAAGTTGAAACATGAAGGTGCTGTGCGTATGAATGCCATAACAATTCATGTTAAGTTTCTTGAAATGCCAAATGAAAAATCATGTTGTTGGTTGCGAGAAATCGGCAGAAGAACTAATCTGAAAATGATGACAGTGAGTAAATAAATATACGAGTTAAAACTAAATTAGAAATACGCTAACATTACTTGAACTACAGTACTCATTTCGCCCAATGTCTCACCGCTTATCGCTTAATTTCCCACCACACAGTATTTTCCAACCGAAAAACGACCACTTTTTTATCTTTTTTTTTTCGTCCCGCTCGCTTATTGAAAACTCTGACCGCTCGCCCAAACACTGATCACTGGCACAGGAGTGGTCGAAATGGTGGTATTTATGACACAGTTTGGAGGATACAACGAGTATTAACTACTATTAAATTCTGAACGACACTTCAAATGTATGATTTTAGTGAATGAAATGTAATTATATTTTATTTTATAGAATTAGGGTGAAAGTGTTACTGTGGACAAGGTAAGCGAAACAAACTAGTCTTATGCTATTTATATATATTTACTACAATTTCTACATCTAATGTTGTTTTAAATTTTTTTATGAAATAAACTTCATTCATTCACATTCATTTCCCGCCAATTTATATGAGCAGTCGACTCTTACAGGGTTATCTGACATGTTGGTGGTTGGTGACCAAAATTGCTAAACTGGCGTTTTCTCGTCTGAAGCTGAATATTTTTGGCAATAGACAACAGCTACTAGCATTGGTGGTCCCAGTCTCCTGATATTGGATGGTACTGGCCCGCTAGAGCCGCCTGCACCTCAAAATCAGTCCAATGTTTCATATTTCATAAACTATATGAATTGATTAGTATGTTTGGTTTCTAAAAATACTTAAGAGGATGGTGAGATAATACATACTATGCAAACGTTTCACTTTTTTAAAACTTTCATTATCTGTTATCAGGTACACATGTCACATGGTTTTAGTCTTCAATATGTTAGTGAGAATTCCATGGAAACTAAGTTGATACCATAATATTTTATACATTTAATAAATTATTTATATACATCTGTTCCGTTGACCCACTTATATTAGTGTATCAACTTTCTTTCTTTTTAACATTAAAACAGTGATGGTTCATATTAATCACGCACGATCCCACCAGACGCCGACAATAACTGTTAATATATAATCTGAAAATCATTATTACTACCATGTACACAAATAATCTAAATACTAAATAGCATTAAAACAACTGCCATAAAATTAAAAAGTACGATCCACATACTTAATATTTCAACAATCTAGATGTAGGTTATCAAAAATAAAATTTTGCATTAAAATGACACAAATATATGCATGTTTATATGTATATTTTTTTTAAATATCCATATAACATTTCACTTTTGGGAAACTTTGCTATGAATTGTCAACCATGTTCAATTTTGGTGCAACTAGCAAATGCAATGTTCAAAATATAGGGTAAAATAAAATAGTTTTAGGCATAGAAATAAGTGACAGAATAAATACATTAATTATGCTGATAATGAGAACCAAGGTCTGTCAATTAGATAAAGGAACTAAACTGATATCTTACTGTTATGAGCATAACTCAAAATAATACAAGTGCATTGTTTCATGACTATTTTTTCAAATCAGGCTAGTATTTTATTACATATATTACTGCACTATTATTTGAAAACCTTTTTTTTGTTTACAATTCGTGCTATATTATTTTATAAGGTACATTGAGATTAATAGAGTATATGTAGTATTAATTGGCTAGTATCTGAGATTAGATATGTTGCAGAACTAATATTTGTTTACCCACAGGTACCTGGTAGACCACTTATATAAATAAAAATAATATAGTGTTACTCAAAGTCTTTTAGAGAAAATTATCACCGCCAGAAAAGAATTTGCCGGAATTATTATCTGGGTGGCAACACACCAGACATAATATCGAATACAGCAGTGTGTATATATCGAGTTTGCATGATAGAGATGTAATCTCTATATATATTAATATTTATAAAGTGACATTTGAAACTTTTCAAGGCCATTTTACCGACAACTACCAAATATTACTGCTCATACATGTATCGTTTAATTTACATAATCCCACGTTTTGCTAATGCGACTGAGATAAATAGACTTTATGTACGTACGTTTTCATCATTCCATCACGACGAGGCAGCATCATACACAATTGGAGGCTTCACAAGGTAAGTGCCATTGGAAACTCAGATTTCACTTTACTATTATCCTACCTGTCTTAGGTGAACATTGTATAGATGTGACGATAGGAATTGTACACGTCCAGCAATGTATTTGACAATTCAAACTTATTTCTACATGGGATGTCTGCATTTTCACATCCCAATAAAGAATATACGCCATGTCTTAACGAATGAACAGTAATATTTAATATTGAATGCATGGTTACACCCCGATTGGCCACACTTTAATTCCCAAGTAGTGTGCGGTAGAGATTTTGCCATCACACTCCATTCCATTCTTTCAGCAGATATATCAAAATCGAAGTGATTACACTATTTTCTTCCAAAAATGACATACCACAGTGTTAAATAATAATAATGTATACTGTTCTAAATATTCATCTTTTATACGTTATATTTCGTTGAATGTTTCAAGTAGACTTTTCATACTCTGGTTTCTCTGTATTTTCAAAGCCTGGTAGTGTTTGTACAGTGATTGATTTCATACTGTTCCCTTGTCTACGACGATCAGCGAGATAATCTATTGTTATTTAATAATGGTTGTTGTTTAGGAATCATTGTAGTCCAATATGAATTGGTGCGTGGATTATATGAAGTTTTTTCTCCTTGCATAGTGATAAGATCCGCGGTCGAACGAAGACAGGGCTATTCTATCATGACACTGCCCCGTACTGTTTTATTACCTTGACACGTGCATACAGTCATGTACCCCTTGTACCGTTCTGATT